TTCTGCCATCATGAATATCCTGGTAGGCTTAAGAGATAGCAGATGTCCTGAAGTTAAGTTTCTTTGCAGAGTGGAGATTTCAACCTGGTGTTCCCAATCCTAGTGTGACACTCCTCTTTTCAAGGCCCTTTGTGGCCAAAATATGTGGGATCTGTGACACTGAAGTTGCTTTCTCACCCCTCCCCCATTTCTCACATCCCAAGCAAATTTTTCAATTGGTGTGGGGGAAAGAACCAGAAATTAAGGCAGCTTCCTTGTGCCAGCAGAGATCTCCACAAACAGTCCATTCTTCAGGGGAGACCTTTCTCTTGGTCTTACCAGTCTGGAAGTCATGTTTGATGGGGATGTAAGAGAGGGATTTCTTTTTTTTTACCTTAACTACTGCCAGTCTTTGGAGCTCCCTCCTAAGGGTCTAAATATCCTGAGGGCACCGGATCCAATTTCATCTTGGAAGCTAAGAAGGATCAGGCCTGGTTAGTACTTGGATGGGGACACAAAAGAATACCAGGAGCTGTAGGCTATATTTCAGAAGAGCGCAAGGGCAGCAAGTGACTTGAAGACACAGACACACAGACACACACCAAGGGAGACTTGGCTGGCCCCATTTCTGTTGTAGATCTTCTTGCAAGCAAAGGCTTTCTTTTTATTCAGGAGGGCTATGGTCAATTGATTACATGATGGGGAAATGGCTTTTAAGAGGGGAGTGTTGTGTCTTTATTGGCATGATTTTAAATTTGTTTTTAAAACATAACTATATATTAATATTGTAATTTTAAAGAATGTATATTAGTGTTATAACTTTTTATGTTTTTAATCTGTATCTTTTAAAGTTCATCTTGTATACCATCTTTGGGAGAAAAGTGGGCTATAAATCAATTCAATAAGACAAGGAAAGAAAGAAAGAAAGAAAGAAAGAAAGAAAGAAAGAAAGAAAGAAAGAAAGAAAGAGAGGAATAGTGCCGGGAGACGCAGGAAACTACCTATATAGCCAGGAATGAAATCCATTCAGGCTATAGGGACCAGGGTTACAGGATTGCTTTGTCTTGTTACCATCATGTTGTCTTACTTCAAATTATTCCTCACCTTTTAAATTACTAGATCATGAGAATAAGATCTAGCTTGGGTGAGCTTCCCCCATATTTCAGCACTTGGGTCTTTGGCAAGGGCTCGGCCTTAGGTAGTATTGGGTTGAGATTCCCAAAATGGTGATATTTGAATTCTGAGGCTCTCAGCTCCATTCAAGTGCCTGTATCATCCAAAAATGTCTTCAAAACATTTATGCTTTCTACCACAGTGTTGCCAAAATGGCACAGTTTTGTTTCTGTGGCCATTCTTGTGGTTTCTGTTTTTGTGTTGGGAGTGCTGAACCTCGGATTAGTGCAGCATTGGTCAGTACAATAAGTCCTCTAACATCAGTTGGCCCATGTACCATGTTTAGAAAGAAGCCTGGGGGAGGAGAGTTTTTGTAAAATTCCCACACTAAAGGAGAATCCTGGCATGGAATATTGGTTTTAAAGACATCTGTCCTGGTCCATTTATAACTGCATGCCTGGAAGGGTCTGTGCCATCCCATTCATATGAAAAAATGCATTGATCAAGCCCTTGGATGGGGTCAGAAAAATAGCTGCTTCTGCATATGCGTTCTTCTTGCTGGATCAAGCCAAACTTTGTTTAGAATCTTTGCTTTTGCTTAAAGTAGTCAACTCTGTGAATCCATCCTAAATTTACTGTACTGCCGGAGACCAGAACTTCCAGAACCCCTTGCCAATGACCATCCTGTCTGGGGGATTCTGAGTGCTATTGTCCAAAAATGTAATATTCCCAAGAATTGCTTTGAAATAACTGACTGTACATGAGTGTGACAGAACTGGCTTATGAAGCTGCATGTACACTGTTTTCTACTCTGTATATTCTGAATCTCTGAAAATAGACACTGAAGGATATTTTAGCCTTGAGAACTGCTCTCCCCTTCTCCTCACCCTTTCCTCTTCTGCTATCTTGCCTGGCAACAGAATACTCCCACTCTTTGTCTGGCTGACACAGGAACTGAGCAGATCCTTCTTCCAGCTTCTAATTGCAGAGTTCATGCTCAAGGTTGAGAGAGAGAGAGAGAGAGAGAGAGAGAGAGAAGGTGGGATGTCCTTCATCCCCAATTGTCCTTCACCAGTACTGGATTCCCTCCAAAGTCCCACTTGGGACTCTTCTGCAGGTGTCACATGAACTCCTATGGGTCAATTTTATTGAAAGGATAGGCTTTTTTTACATAGAGAAGAAAGTCCATCTTTCTTTTCTGTCAGGAATGTGAACCTCTAAAAACAATTACTTTCCCTTTTCAGAAGGAAAAAAATAAAAATCACTAAGATGGGCTTTTGAATAATTTTATTTATATGTCTATTCAGTATTTTGTTGAACATTAATAATATGCATTGACTTGACTGAAAGGCTGCTTGTTCTTTTCTTGGGTGAAATCCAATTTGTGCTAAGCTGTTTGCTTGCTGCCAAGGATAACAATTGGTAGGCAAGAGACAGGAAGTGAATGCGTCTTACTCTTAAAATTGCCTTTCTTTTCTAATACAGCTTTGCCTCATCTGTTGTGTGTTTGGTTGCCTCCTATCCAACACTATTTCTGTTTCTTGTTGCAATACTGGCTAGTAATACCAATATTTCCCAAGTAATAATTAGTACTTTTGTTCTGATTTGAAATAAAAGAGTAGCCAAAAGTTGTCATATGTTCAAATTCAGATGTTGAAAAAGACTTCTTGGGTCAACTGGATTGAGTATATGCTGGGACAGCATAGGAAGTTGACAGCTTTATTATGTGCTTTTGATCTGGCATTTGCATTCCACTTGTAAAGCATCATATATACACTATCTTCTTGCAATCCTTACAGTAGTCTCATAAGATGTCCTATCGTGATCACAAGCAGAAGCCCATAGGTTGAATTAACATGTGAGACTGGCTGAACCAGTGTTTGAATAGAAGTACAGGACTCTGAAGACCTTTGAGCAGATAGCTTGGTCCCATAGAGATTTGAAGGCAGGATGAAATGGCACATGGCATTAAACATATAGTACACAACTATATTTCAAAGAAAGGAACTGGCAAAGCCATCTCTGAGTATTCCTTGGCTTAAAAAATCTTATGAAAATCATGGGTTCACCATAAGTCAACAGGTAACTTGAAGGCACACATGTGCACTCAGCTAAAGATCCCTTAAGAAAACAACACACACTGCCCTGTAAAACAAGTGTATGTAGTTTTGGTCTAGCTCATGGGGATGGGAAATGCAAGCCTCAACCTGGTTTCTGTCTAAAAATGCATGCTTTGCATGGAGGTTTAAAAGCAACATGCATATAGAGTTATTATTTTTATAAACATCCTTGCAACAGAACTTTTCAAAAAAGGTTAGGATGGAATACATGCAATCACTGAAGAGTACCTTTTAAAAGTGATGCTGTATACTATGGCTGGAATCCTCTTGATGGCACATGCACATAGGATTAAATCAGCCTATCTCCTTTTTTGGACATTCTGTCTTATTGTGCAACATCCCTCCATGCTCCACTGACAGCTTTCAAAGGCAGGAGTGTACTGCCACAGCTGTTTACTAGGTGGGGCTGGTAGGAGGCATCCAGGCAGTTTCTGGCTTTGGGTTTGCAGCTGAGAAAGCTAATATTGCTCTCTCACATGTCCAGCACATCACTGGACATCTGGGAGGGTGATGTCAGCTTTCTTCTTATTGCAGAACAGCAGTTGGATACTACCTGGGCATTTTCTTTCTTCTCCATCCCTAGGAATGTGGAACTGTATGGGTGGAGTGTTATGCTCTGCCCACATGATGTAGGATTCTGACCTGTGTGCTTAGCTTAGAGCCTTTTAGGCAATGAGTGCCCAAACTTAAATGGCCTTCCAGCACTGGGTGTTGCCCCATGCTGAAGGTAGGACTTCCAGGAGGAATGGGATGTCTGGGGTGGGACTTCAACCCTATGGGGTGGGACTTCCAGGGCAGGACTTCTTCCCCCCTGCACGTACTGGGCCTTCAGCTGCCTCTCCAGGTGCATGCCTTTTCCTCTTCTTCCCTGCTCCATGTGCCAGAGAAAATAGCTTTGTGCCATAGATTTGCTAACACGGGCATAGAGTGTAGTTTGACTCCCAATAGAGGCCATTTATCCTTCTGGTAACCACTGCTCCTTTCCTGAAGCATGGAAAGCCATAAAGAAGAAGTTCTCTGATATGAAGTTTAGCTCTCCATGGGTTAGCACCAATCCACTTCATGACTCCTGCCCCTTGTCATGCCACTACTTCCCGCATGACAGAACATCACTTTTAGTTTAAGGATTCAATGAAAACGGAGGCTCTATGGAGCACATGAGCTGTACTCTCAACCCTCCTGATATAAACTTCGACCCAAAGTGCCCCAGAGCATTGGAGAACAAGTTTAGGCTTCCACATGTTGAGCACACAGGTCTGAGGAGGGCTCCTGACTGCCCTGTTTCTGGGATAAACCCAACATTACATGGGGGGATTTAATCGACAAGGGATTTTTCCTTTTTTTCTCCTTATCAAAAGACCCTTGTATCCTTTCTCCAAATTTCCTCTGGATATTCTCACAACCTTCTGTAATAGCCTTAGAGAGAAGGGTACACAAATTTGATTGGCCAACACTGTTTGTTTTTCTGGTTGAAGGATATCACTGAAAGCATCTTATGTAACTGCTCTTTGCAATTTTAGTCAGTACCGCTGTGGGGTGTTTGTTTGGATGGGTATTGTTGAAATGTCAATTTTTATGCTGGAACATGATTGTATCTACTGTGGATTGTCCTTCCCTTGGAAGTCCAACTTTGCCAATGCTGTGGATTTTTTTTCTGATGTCAAGACCTGGGTTTCTATTAAAGTCTTCAGGAACTAATTTACTTCAAAATATACATGTACACGGTTTTTAATTGTTTTTGTTTTTACACTGGTGCTAGCTGTTGTTTATGAAGTGGTTTTAACTGTTGCTAGTGTGGCATAGTGGTTTGGGTATTGGACTATGACTCTGGGGACCAGGGTTCAATTCCCTGTTCAGCCATGAAACCCATTGGGTGACCATGGGCAAGTCATACACTCTCAGCCTGAGGGAAAAAACAATGGCAAACCTCCTCTGAACAAATCTTGCAAAGGAAAAAAACCATGATAATTTTGTTTTAGGGTCACGATAAGTCAGAAATGACTTGAAGGCACACACCACCAACAATGTTGAATATGTTTTCATCATGTTCAAATTAGTTATGCTTTTAAATTGTTTATATTGTATGCCACCCTGAGATCCTATAATAAAGGGCAGGATAGAAATGTTTTAATAAGCAATCAATCAACCAAATAAATCAAATATTTTTTCATTACAGTTTTGTTTTAGCCTTCATATTGTGGCCACCAGGCAGAGTGTTGGCCAGTGTAACAGGAAAGCCTGCAAGTAACATACCCTTTTTTAAAAAAAATGGTTATCTGTGGTCGTAGGTAGCCTCTGTGTCAGTGAGGATGGGTGAATCTGCTTTGAGTTCTACTCTGAATTTTAAGGGAGCTAATCAAGATGCTGAACCTATTTTGGGGGGATAGGTTTCTTTACCTTTTGGACAAAACCCTGGAATGGGCTCATTGCCCCACTGACATGGGAAGTCACAAGCCATCAGGGATAGTGGGATGGCATTCTGTATTGCAGTTACACATTTGTAACTGTGAGTTATGGCTCTGTAAGTGCTCCATCTTCAGCGAGATTACAGGCATTATCATACAAGCCTCATTTTCACCACAGCCACATTAGTAAAAGGACATGGATACACACTGGCTTGGGAGCATTAATTACCATATATCTCTTCATTAGCACAACTAAGGCTATTATCAGTGGTCCCCATGCTCTCGTCTACACTCTCCTTAAAGCTGCATTTTGCCCTATGCCCTACCCTATGTCTTTTTATTATTTGTAATGCAATTTAGCAATTAAGGCAATACAAGTTAGTAAAAAAAAAAGGTAAAAAGGAAAGAAAAGACAACAGCCTGCTTGGGAATAACAAGGGGGAGTAGGGAGTGGGGCAAAGGAGGAGACTGAGACCACATGACTGCCCAATCTCAGAACTACAGCTGGAGGAATTTATTGCACCTGAGGATTAATGGGCAGCAGCATAATTGGGAGCTTATTGACAAGTTTTTCCTGTCAATGAAAAGGGATGCTCTAAAAACACCCTCAAGGCAAAGCAACAACAAGATGGAGACGTCATGTGATGAGTTTTGCCCAAGGCACTATTCTCTAGCTTAATATTGGTTTTAAAGCCTCATGTGATAATCTTCACAGTATTCCTGATAGTGGTACTATTGCCACTATCGTAAATACCCTCCACACCTTAACAATCAGCAGCCACATTGAGTGATGGAAGTCTTGTGCGGATGATTGAGATGCAGCAAGATGACATTCCCAGCCCTTTCCCACCAACAATCTCTAGTGCAACAATCAGAAATAGGACCCCACCACAAGATCTCATCATCTGAGGGGTTGGGGGTCAGGTAATGTTACTTTAGTTATTAATGTGTAACTAAGAACAAGATGTAAGATATCAGTGGTTGTCGTTTTTCAAGAAGATGCATTTTATTTTATTCTTCTCTTTCCTTACATGGATGTGCGGTTTAATATAAAATATTTTGTGGTAAAAGTCAGACAAAGCAGCTGTGCTGGCAACTAATGCACCCAAAAGCAGAAGATTAAAATAACTGTGGCAACAAGACAGCCCTCAGTTCTTGGCTGTATGACGTTGACAGGAAAAGTCTTCCTTGAAGCTGTGATTTCACATTAAAGAAACCAGGTTTTCTGTAACCAAAGTTCAAAAACGAACTGAAAGGGCCTTTTTACAGCCAAGGCCTCCTTTGCCCTCAGGAAGGATCTGGTTCCTTGCAGAGGCCACTGACAGATAATGCAGAGCACACTCTCATAATCTGTATGGGATTCTTTAATTTGCTCCATCTGCATTTTCCCTGGCCTTTTGGTGATCTTTACAATTGAAAAAAGTAGCTGAGCTGTTGTATTTTTCTTCCACTATGAGATGAGCTGTGCCATATTTTTACAGTTTTGAATTTTATATCAAATTAATAATATCTGGAGAAAGGGAAAAAAACTGATATAATCACCACCAGTTTTCATCAGGTTCTAAATATCTAACATAGAGGCAAGGAGTCTTCAGATTCCTAAAATCTTTGTCTTTAATAGAATAATAAAAATATAATAATTGGGCAAAATAACAACAAGATAAAAAAAGACAGAATTGTGGTAGCAGTCATAGTTCATGCTCAGTGCAAGGATTTGCTTTTAGTATGAAACAGAGCATAAATACAAATCATTTCACAGAAAAATGCTTCATGTTTTCTTGATTTCAGTAGTCTAAGACCTGAAAAAATTGAAGATTTTTATTAATAATGGCTGGAACCCTGTTGAGCAAATACATAATCTACAGATACACTTTTGTAATTGTTACATATTCACAATCCCTAGGCATTACCTAATTTAGGGGTTAGATAGGGTCTGTGAAAGTCCCCTAAACTCTATTTACTGGCAAGTTGCTAGTAATGAGAGGGGGTCCATTCACTTGTTGATTGGGAAGCATCTGCCAGACTTTTTGTCCCTCTCCCATGAGTGACCTCTGGAGTGAGGGGGATTTGCGACAGGAATCCTCGTTCTGCCTGTCACAGGGGGGATTGCTCATGGAAGAAGGAGTGTCAGCTATTTGATTCTTGATCGACAGGGGGATGTACTCCTGTTGATCCCAGTGGCTGCTTAGCAGTAAGTGAGGTTTTGGGGATGTCACATCAGAATTCACTGTGTAGCAACATTGTCATGATACTACACAGTATGGAATAGTTGCATAGGATTCCAGTGAACCATTGGGACTCAAAAAGCCTCACTAATTTTCTACAAATCACCTGTAGATATTTCAGTAGATCTTAATTTACCTTTTGCACATCCCTATTTTGTAATTCCAGTTACCGTATCCTCATTTTTGGCATTCAGCATGCTTTCAGTATATATTGAATTCTACAGTCTAGTTGATATTCATATCAGCTCAGAAGAGCTCACCTTTTGGAGAACTACAGTTCTCAGAAATCCAAAACCAGCTTGGTCACTGTCTCAGATGCATCAAGAGATACACTGGGTCAGTGTATCTCAAAGGATACTTTGAAATCATGAGTATTCTGTCCCATTACTTTCAATGAGGCCTACACTGAACTAACAGATTCCAGCCCATGCTCTTATCCTAAATTTCTCATTTCATCCTATAGAAGAGGAACCAATTTTCACTTGCAGCTCAAGAATGCATCCCACACTTAGGATGCTCCATCCTGAACCCACCAAGAACACACCTGGATACAGTGTCATGGTATTATTGTTATTACTATTTCATTTATTTATATCCCTCCCTTCTCCCAATCTAGAGACCCAAGGCAGTACACAGGTACAGAAGAGATGGGAAAATCTTATTCTGTCAAATCTGCTCCACTCATGAAAAGGAGGTGAGGATGAAAGCCATTGACCAGATGGTCACTCCAATCAGCAACAAAACTCAGTCCAAATAGAAAAAAAAATTACATCAATTCTGAAATGTGATCAAGCTTGATTAATTGGGTCATGCCCTTTGTAGATGATGGGAGTTGTAGCCCAACATAGTTGGAAAGCATCAGATTGTGGAAGGCTGCCTTAGAATGAGAAAAAGGATGATGCCAACCCTAGTAATTTAGTATACACTTCACAAGAAAGGTACAGATGTCAGTTTGCCCATCAAGGTATAGCTATAATAGAGGTTTTTAAAAAACATTTTGAAATAGTTACAGATGACCTAGAACTGACTCCTTATAATGTGTGTGCAGAGTCCAGTTTTATACAATGGCAGCTGACCTTTGTCTTCATTGCTGTTCTGAGGATGTCGTCTCTCCATGTGTAACTTTCTTGCAATTTAATAGAAATTGTAGTTCTTGTTGTAGTTTCAAATGGGTTGGCTCTTATTACCTCTGAGCTCACAACATTTTTTTAAAAAAACAGACTACAGGTATGTCTTTGAAAGATATTTTGGATACAGCTGGTGGAAGAGATAATATGTTTATAAAATCTATAGCTCAATCAGAACTGCCTTGTATCTGGTGCTGTTTCAAAATCTGAAAGCAAAATACCATGGAAAATTCAGGTTACTAGAGTTTTTAAGTAGAGAGAAATTGACTGGCCAGTCAAGTTTATTTTAATGTATTTGTGAGCTCAACTACCCCCTATGAGGAGATCATAGGGGGTAGTTAAGTGTGGTCACTACTTGCTGTAGAACAAATAACAACTTGTCAGAAAACACGAAACTGATCTGAAAGAACCATGAAACAGTAAGCATGGCAGGTAATGAAGAAAAGATGAGAACAGAAGGGAAAGTTTTAAAAAAGGAGTCAAAAAAGTTCCAATTAAGAAAAAGTGCTATATAAAACAAAAGTCTCAAAAGGATCAGCAACTGACTAAAATGGAATATCAGCATTAATGGCTTATTATTATACATAGGATGTTGCTTTTTTTTCTTTTGCTAATTTTTAAAATATTCAAATGTTTATTTTAAAATAACAACAACAACAATTGATTTCAAGCATTCTTAGCAATAAGTTTTGTTAAATTTGTAAACTTGTTTCAGGGAATGCTTTGCCTGGCATTCACAACAATTCCTATGGGTCCTTGAAATATATTTTGTTTTAAAAACAGTTCTTGATTAGATACTGCTTACTGTGATTTCATAGTAGGTGAAAGTGCTAGTATTTTATCCAGCTGTACCAGGATTCCCAGATCTCAGGACCTGGAGCCTCTTCTTCTGTTGTTAGGATGAGGGGGAGATATCTCAGGCTGGGACTATCACATACATCTGTGTATTTCTGATTCCCTGTTGCTGCAGGCTGGTTTGGAGCAGCTACAATTGTCAATTTAGTATTTAAAGCAGAACTTGGAAAACTTTCTTTGGTTAGATTACAACAGCCATGCACTTTTGAAAGCAGTACTTGATAAGGTGTTAAAAACAGAGCTAGGG